TACAAACTATACAACAATAAAATTTAAAAAATGACAAAACCATTAGCATATTCAGATTTAGACAGTTAAACAGAATATATGTCATATGCATGTGATTAGCAGCCTATAATACAAACCCTCCCTTTGGTATATGTACATGGCTGAAAGTTCAGAAAGAGGTGAGGTTCACATGGACGTTCAAACACAATCTGTTATCGACCCAACTCTCCCATCATGTAACCCAGTCAGTCTATGTTTGGTTTTATTAAATTGATTCTATTTAAATGGTTGAAACTCACATTCATCATGTGTATCATGAAGCTCTGCACTGAAACATGGAAAATAGCTGAGCTCTGGGTCCTGACTTCACGTGAACGTGGCTGAAACTGTTGTGGTGCACATGAAAAAACTGACATTATATTACAACAACAAAGAGCTGCTCTTAAATATTGGAGACTGAGGATGTGAGATAAACCTGCTGGTGCACATGTGCAATTTTCTAGACAAAAGAAACTTTTCACAACTTAATCTTACCCCCCTTAAAAAGCCTCCTCTACTCCAGAGATAATTCTGCTTCCTGACTGATACAACCTACTATGATGTTTGACTTTAAATTTGTGCACACCAATTGCACATGGCCATCTATGCAGCTTTAATCTATACTCAGCTCTCTGAGTCTGCAGATGTGAAGCGTGTAACAGTCAAATTGAAGCTACACAAGTTACTACTCTCAGATAATGTCACCCGATCTTGGTCAGTTTGTCAAGTAACAGTCGAAAAAGCAGATAAAAGTACAATCTTGTCAACCTCTTTCCTTTCTCAGCCAGCTCTACATGGAATAAGACCTGTCAGCTGTGAATAAAGTGAACTGGCAAACCTTCAACTTAACTTTAACTCCCCACAGAACTAAAAGGTGTGACCAAAACAAATCAGCAGTGGTGAGGGTAGAGAGAGAATCAGGTCATATCAGGACACTTGCAGAAGGGACTTGTTGTGATTCAAGCTGGATAATATCAAATCATAGGACAAGATCCAGGCAGATCAAATTGACACCATAGGTGTTGACACCACTGCCTCAGCATGGTGAGGAGGACATCTGTTCGTACTCCGGACACTTGAGGAGGGCAGGGTAGTTGGAGGAGTTCATCTGGAGCGAGGCCTCAGAGGAGATGGAGGAGGCACTGCGGCCTCGACCGGCCCAGGCGTCTGGGTGGAGGAACTGGCCGGAGTAATCGGAGCAGTTGCTGAGTCGGGGCCGGTAGAAGCCCTGATGGGGCCGGTACATTTCCTCCGCTGTGTAGCGCTTCATGAACAGATACACCGACATGACACCGGCTGCCTGGAGGGCACATGGCACAGGGACACAAGGTTTACTCTGGTTAGCTCATATCCTTATGGGGTTAGTGCTGTTTGTGAATAGTTTCAATTCTACCTGATGACATTATGAAATGGTAGTAAGGATATAATTATCTTAACTTGAAACACAACTTATCTTTGTGAGTTGAAACAAAGCTAATCTTCAAGTTAAGACCTTTCGTTTCTAAGTTTTACCTACTTAAGATTTGTTGCAGTGCATTACATTGCATTGCATTGCAACTATTAAATTCTATACAATTAATTATTTCAAGAGTTACATAAACAAATATGTGCAGATGAGTTTTAGATGGCAGAGAAACATGCAGGTATTTGCTTATTAATGATGATAAAGTGAACACTTTAATCATGGCTTAGTTAAATGTGTTCATGCATACGCACATGTTTGCTATGTGTGTGGAGATTTTCAATTTTCTTCTCTTTTCAGTCCTTTTCTTTTAATGAGATCTTTATCGAAATAAGTTCACATGAGTTATACACTTCAACATTTCCTGTCAGTGTCAGGTTACGGTTAATCTCTATAAACAGATTCTGCATGTGAATGTACAGAATCTGTCAACGGGGGGACTGAAAGCTTTCTGGTTTCCATTTCTAGTTTGACCAATCAGGTTTGAGCAGGCTTTGGTTGCCCACAGGTAAACAGTCTGTGTTGGGGGCAAATAAACACATTGACCAAAATGCGTTAGCTTTTTAATTCATCTGCATTCATAGCTGTCCATAAAGATTTGCCAAAATCTCGACTGGACCAAAAACAATTACAAAATAATCAGTTTGTGTTTATTTGGAAGAAACATTTGACTTATGTGTGTATGAGGTATGAGAAACAAGTGTAGAGATTTTCGCAAGTTACACTGGAACCCCCAAAATTCGGCCATTGTCCCCAGAAGCTAATTTGTTGTCAAATGAAAGCCGATGGTCTCAAAGATTGGGTAATGATGAATCAGACGCATCTTCCGCCATTGCTCTTTTTAGAGGCAGAATCCAGTTACCACAAGAGAAACTGCATAGACACATTAAACACATCTTTTTCAACCCAAATGAGCATGTTTATTTCTCACAGCACAACATATTATAGTTGTTCATATCTGAAGGACATAATTTGTCCAATTCAGGAACGTAAAAGATTTTGTTTCAGGCATTACTTTTCTGTCCTTTCTATCCAAAATGACAGATTACACCACTTGCAAAAAGAAAGTAGATTTAAGGATAAGACAGACTGGTGTCTTTGTGAAAACATTACATGGATGCATAAATTCTAACTGATGCCATACACCACAGGGACCCAACAGATACTGGTGATAAAAACTGTCAACATGATGGTTTGCTTGGGTACGAAAGGTTTAAAGTATCATTTCTATTATGTGGCATTATCCAGAGTAGCTGTGGTGAAGTTACCTCAGTGAGTAGGAAGGAGATGGCAGCAAAGGCGAACGACCAGCCATACTTGTAGCTGAAGTAGGCTTCATTGGTTTTGGTCCTGTTCAACATCTCGTCGTTAATGTTGGAGATGTACAAGACCAAACCAACGACCAGAGACAGACCTGTGGGGGGCAAAGAGACACAGGTAGAGTACATTCAGAAAATATACCAGTATAAATGAAAGGCATCACTCTGTTACAATGTTTTAACAGATAAGGATAAGTTTAACGATAAGTTTAATTCTTCAATGTGCCAACAATGGATATTAAAACTCATTTACCCTTTAGTTATTTCACCCTCTTAAATATAATGTGTTATTTTAATGTTGTGTGCTAAATCCAAACCAGGACCAGTACCTGACAGAATAAAGAAGATTCCAGAAACAAAGGCCAAGATGGTGCGATGTGGTCGGATGTGGCCGATGTTGCTGAGCACAAAACCGATGAACATGAAGAAGAGGCTGACCAGAGGGAAAGGTGTGGCAGAACGGATCATCTCTGAATTATAAAGAAAAGGAAAAAAGAGAGGAATTGAACTCAATGAGAACCTTGGAAAAACAGATATTGTTAGATCTGTGACTCAAACCTTTAATGTCAGGTTTTCCTCTTCCTGTAGCAGCATGATATTCTCCACTGAGATTGGACTTATTCTTTGTGGAGCTAATATTTAATGTGTCATGGTTCCTCACTTATATTTAGATGGAGCTGGGCCTTCCTGCTGTGAGCAAATGGTACAGAACCTTCTGGGGAGAAGTAAAGGGATGGTGGTACTGCTTATTTAATTAATTAGGTAAAGTTTGAGGAGGTAAAGTTCTGTTACAAACTATTGTAACTATTTTCTATTTCTATTTTCTGCTAACAGAGCCTGACCAGGCTTTAGATAAGAGCCAGGACATTATTAGACAAAGTATGTAGCTTAGTTTTCCTTTTGTGAAAGTCATAGTGGTGAGTAGATAATGAGTTAATTTAAATTTTTCTGTGAACTATCCCTTTAAGACATAAAGTGAATCATCTATGAAAACACTAACCCAGCTGCCACTGGCCTGGAGGGAGCTGCTGACAGACATGTGCTCCCTCAGTTGATACATGGTGTTAACCAACCTTTTCTCCACCTGCCGGCTGTGACATTCACTGGAAGGGTCAGGCTGTCTCTCCATTTCCCACAGTGCAGGCTCACACCCAACCAGTGGCAGCCACAAGTGACACAAGGGCCATTTTTACCTCCTCATCTATGATATAGATGCGGATCTGTCTTAATTTCTCAGAGAAAAATCAATGGATCTTGATAATGATAAATTGAGCACATGAAACTTGGGGCAGCTTTACTGAATTTAAGGGAACTATTGCACCTCGTCAGAGGTATGCCCTCTACTGAGTGCCATTGTTTTCTACAGTGAACAGTTACTTACTGAGAACACTAACAGTGGACTCAGATGTCATCTGGACATTGGTGGGCATCACATACTCGATGGTAAAACATCGACCTTTCTCCTCCCCTGGAAAAAAGGACAGAAAAAAAGCATGTATTCAACCAGAATTCTAATGAATCTGATGCAGGGTTCAGCTCTATGCAACTGTTGAGTCGCCCACTGTAACAAGGAAAAGTTAAACAGAAGAATGTACAATATGCTGGAACAATACATAGATTAGATAAGACAGACGTCATTGTTGCAATGGGAGATTTGCCTTGGATGTCTCAGTGTCTGCAGCATGAAACCACATTTGTCCCTTACTCGACCATATACGTGGATAACATCAACCCAATACAAAACAGTGATCGTGGGCCAAAAAGAAAAGCCATGAATATTTTGAGCCAAGTGATGTCAAGGGCTTTAATGGACAGGAGGACAAAGGAGTGTATGAAACCGTGGTGCCTGCTGTATCGTCTGCCTGTGGGGAAGATAGTACTCACATTGGACGACGTGATGGAGCACAGTGGTAGAGTGGAAGCTGCAGAGCTTATTCTCTATCTGCAGGTATCTGTAGGAGTCCACCTGCAGGATGGTCTAGTCATGAATAACCATTAACATCATGATTTTGGACTTTTAGCTCTTGGATAAAGAGTTTTTGGTTTTTATGGACTATTCTTATCATGGACACTTTTAGTAATTTGACCTTTACCTGTGTTTCCTTGTTGTCATTCTGTGTGTCACTCTGTGTTCCACTCTGTGTTTAGATTTGTGTTTCATTCTGTTTCCTGTTTTATTTTGAAAGTCTGATCTCCCTCATGTGTCTGTTCAATTTACTCCCTGCCTTGATTTGCCTCACCTGTTTGTCCTGTGCCACCTGTCTCTAGTTTGTCATCAGTTCAGTTTGTATTTAAGTCAAGTCCTCACTTCTGTCTTTGTTGAGCTGTCTGTTTAGTCATGTTGTCTGTTTAGTTTATGTCATTTTTGTCTCCAGTGTCTCCTGCCTTGCTTTCTTTTCATGGACACTTTGAGTTTTGCCTTTTGTTTCTTTGTGGGTCTGCTCCTTGTTTTGAGCTATTTGGAATTAATTGAAGATTATACAAAACATGTCAAATATTTCAACAGCTTAATAAATACACAGGTGACTGAGGAGTTAGAGAGGGTTGTCCACCCACCAGAAGGCTGTGGGTTTGATCCCTGGCTCCTCAGTCTGCATTTCAAAGTGGCTGTGCTGACAGTTTTGAGTGGTTTATAAGACTAAAAAAGTACAAAAATATAAATATGGTCAATTTACCTATTATTTATTTTTATGTGCTGGGATCAGTTAACTCAGTGTCCTGGCTGTGAAACAATCTCATCTTATTTCAGTGAAGCTGTTGAATAAAAGTTTCACAGAAAGTGTGAAATCAGCAGGATTCTGACACGTTTCTCATTATCACTCTCTGACATTGAGTGAGAGAGTCTGGCACAAAAATACAATGACACACAAATGCATATTTAGAGTCTGTGCACCAGTGAATGGATTATGATAGGCAAACATATATATATATACATATAACAACAGACCTGACCATGTTGTTGCTGCACTGTTGCATTGAATGTTTTTATTAGGACTAATCTATTCAGTATTTGTATGTCTGTGTATACTTTATGTGAGCAAGTGAGAGTAAGATGAAGTCATGATTAAAGTAGTTAAATGAGAACTGAAAGAGGAAAAGCACAACAGGGTTCCAGGGAGTGTGTAAAAGGAAAGAGCCCAACAAGGTTTTTGTCTACTGTTGTTTGTTTCAGTTTCTCTCTCTTTTGCCTTTGAAATAAAGTCTAAATCCTGTATAATCAACCACTATGTAAGGGAAGGCCTCTGTGGTTCCCCAGGATTTCAGTCTCATGGGGTATTAAAATATCAGTTAACGTTTTTTTAGTGAGACTGTAAAGTGTTTATCTCTGCAGAGAGCCAATGCTAATTCTCAGCCCTCTCAAATGTAATTTCAACAGAGGGAGATAATAACCATCACTGAAAATGTTGATTATGGTTTCACAAGATAGAAATAATGACTAATCTTCAATCTCCAGTCTTAAAAGATGCCACTAACACTTCTGCTGAAGATTTGTGATGGGTCATTTACAGCAGAATAGACATTTAAAGTTGTAAATGTGATTTTAATGAGGCTGTCTAACACAAAACTTACATCATAACTATATTAAAGATAGGTTATCATATATTTAAACAAACCATCCCTACTCTTATAGCCCTGTAACATGCTTTGCAGTCCTCTACTGAACATATTGATTTACAGCAATGACACAACCACAGATTGTATTGTGTGTACTGTATGTGCAGGCAGAGATCCTCTACATGAACTCTACTCTACAACAAACCTCTAACAGCCAAACAGCTGCAGAACTCGAACCAACATCAATACCAGTTAAAACAACACACAACCTTGTTCACGTCATCTGGCACAAAAACAAGCTGTGCTACTAGTGTGCAGTAATTGTTTCTGGGTCAAACACAATGCACCAGTTAAATGGGCTATAAGGCCACTCGATCGCCCCTAAAAACACACACTGGACCATTTGTCCATTTATAGCATCTGTTACCTAATCACAATCTGAACGATTAACCCTGAAACAGGACAGAGCAGGCCAGGGTGTGTCACAGGGGTTAATGGAACGATTCAGCAGTAAGTGGGGTAATGTCACAGATCCTTTCAGGGTTTTCAGGTTGTAAACACGCTGAAAGTGTAACAAATGAGAGCAGACATATTTGTGCTTCAACATCTGCACATCCAACAAAAGTCTGTCATTGACAGAGAAATTACAGAAGTGGATACCTGGTTTATTTTGGGACAACACTTGTCTGGAGAGTTGGGAATCTAAGAGAAGAATAAAACTGAACAGTTAGTGTCTCTCAAGGCCTCAGAGCGTGCGTCTGTAATGTTGCAGCTGGGGAGGAACAGTTTTTGACAGGTAAATGGTCTTTTCAAGTGCACTGTGGAAATACAAACTCTACAGTGGTACGAAAGTGCAGGTCAGAAGAAAGGGGAAAACATCAGCCAGAGAATTTAAGGTTTTCTGCATCGATCCAGAGATTCTCTGATGCCACAGACTGTAAAACAAATGTCAGACCCGTCTGTTCTTTACATGGCAGAATTGACAATAAAGTTGACTTTGACTTGACAAACATATTAGTCTCCACCCATTGCTGAAAACACATCATGTCTGGATGAAGTTGAAATCCTGACTAAAATATACAATTCTTGTGTGTTTCAATATATGTCATCTCACATGTTTCAGGCTTCATTTTTACTCACCAGCCAGGAAGCAAACCCTCCAGAGACCAGAGTGCAGGGACATGCGTATCTCGGTGCTCTGGTTGAGGGGGAGAATGACGCCCTCCTCCAGGTACAGCCAGTAGTCGGTGCTAACAGCGATCCCCAGCAGGCCCAGGGCGCAAACAGCGAACACGCTGCTCAGCAACGTCAGCGCCTTCCTGCCACAAAGGCTCATACCACAGCCTCAACAGCAGGGGGGTGCCGCCGGCAGAAAGGAGAGCTATAGCAAAGGGAGGACATAAAAAAATATACATCTTCACCAACTTTATCAAAGTAAACAGGACAAAGTTAGTGTGAAAACCTTCCTGAGAGAAGATCAAACTGTCCCTGAGGCAGGAAAAAAAAGATGCATCTATGGGTTGATGGTTGGTGGGGAAATCTGAGTAATATACTGAGGTTTGTTTCATAATTAAAATTAATGTCTGGAAATGAAGATGTGTATGAAATAAATGTAAAGTAGTAAATTGGAATATAAAAGCAGACAAGCGTAACTGAGGAATTTCTTCCTCTCAACTGGGAAAGTTTCCCTCTCCTCCAAATCTCCCTATAGAATTTAAATAATCACATTGTGTAGGGCTAAAAGCTTAGTGGGGACTGTTTGTTTTCCCCAGCCAAAAGAGCTGAATTATAACTCATATTGCTGATCATACTAGAAACTAAGATTTTCTGCTTTAATCATGCACAACTCCTAATGTACCCAAATATCTTGTATAAATCCAGCGTGTGAAGCAGCATTGCAGATGGTGTACAGTATGTGTCAGCATATGAACATCACACAAAATGTATAAACCGTTGGTGCGACGGGTGATGCCCACATTCGCAGGAAGCTGCAGCACTGGGAGCTTGGCATGGGATACGTGTTGAAAGGAATTGATTTTACATAATGAGTTCTCAGGGCGCTGCGACACTGAGCACCCACTGGGAGAGGGGTATGGATGTGTGAACGGATTAAAAAAAAACATCTAAACTTTTTAAAAAGATTTGTAAGTTTTTTTTCCCTCCTCAGTGGATCAACTTCTTGGATGAAAAGCCTCAGTAGAAGGGAACAGGGAGATGTCCACACGTCTGTCTGTCAGCTTGCAGTGCACGACAGAATAATAAAGAGGGGATGAGTTGTGAAGCTTCTGGTTCTAAATAAAGCTTTTAAGAGGATACAGGACACTGGCAATAAACATGTTTAAATTCCCTGCACGTCATATCTCGTCTGTTACCAGTTCTACATGTTACAGTATACACACATACACATTATGAAAACAACAATATCACTGAGTAACAATGAAATGAATCAAGCTATGTTATCTGTATATGGTTAAATTTGTTCAATGTATATATCCTGTAGCTTTCCCTGGGTAATATAATTAATAACCATGTGCTCCAACCTCATCTGTCTAATGGATGTGGAGCCTGTTGCCCCAATTCATATACACGAAGGGTAATAAATCATTGAGGACTTGTTGCAAGAGCAGCACAAATTATAAATATTCTATACACATATGTGCAATTTAATTGATCTACTTAATCTTAGATTCTCCCCCTTGGATGTAAAAATGTCTATTTGTATTGTCCCTGCTCGTTGAAACTCATGTTGGAGAAGTTGAAATTAAAATTTAGCGTCTACAAGTGTTGCTTTAGGTTTATCTTGCATGTTCTCATCCATGAGTAAGTATGCAAGGAGGTTATTTGTTTGTTTGTAAGCTAGTTTATGCAAAAACACTTACGGATGGATGAACAAAAACTTCAGAAAGAACCAATTTAATTTTGCTGCAGATGTAGGAATTTTTCTGTCACATTGCATCCACAATTTGACTCATTTCCCAGGGAATAATTCATGGATCTTGATGAAAAATATCAGAAGCATTTGGGGAACTGATTGAACTGACAAGTGTGTGCAATTTGGTGCAGTTTGATTGAATTAAGTGGGTGTGCTGGGCCTTGGTGGAGGTATATGCTCTACTGAATGCCAGTCTAGTTTCAATTGGATTAGATAATAATAGACCCAGGCTTATTTCTATCTCCGAAGTCTTCTAATGTTGAATGGCATTTCTAAGATATAAGACTATGACAATTGCCTTGATCCAGAATAAGAAAGCTTGGTGTATATGGACACATACATATATATTTTTATAGTTGTTTAAACTGCAGCTATCAAAATGTCAAGCAGTGGGGAAAAAAAGATAAACTACAATCTTGACTCTTTTTGCTCCCATATATGTCTTTCCCTGCTGAGACTCAACCTGCCCTCGAACTATGAACCACAGGGCGGCACATTATTCCAAACAAAGCCATGGTGATTGGAAGTGGTTTAGATGCATTCACAAGCAATCAGAGTTCACTACATCACACACAAGCAGCATTAATGAGAAATGACTGTCATTACCCCCAGCTATTCTTGACCATGCTGCGGGGGGGCTGCTTTTAGTCACACAGCACGAGAATCACACGGTGAAGTGATTTACTTCTAAATGTGGGCTTCCACAGATACGGTATCATTACTGAGAGGAAGGAGCTATTTTGCTGGCTGTGCCTTTCAAGCAGCTACAAAAATAGACCACTTATTGTAATGATAGGGTAGTGAGGATGCTTAAAATAGCCACAGTGATATTATTAACGATTACGTAACACCACAGCACATGTCTCGACCTGTATTGAAAAGTTGGTGACAGAGTTGTTGCACAAGTTTCCATCGAATACATAAACGACGTATACAAAACATATTTCCAGTGTATTTTGCAATACCCGCCACCACCATGGTGATGTTCCCATGATGTTCCCATGATTCACAACACAAACACTTTTCAGAGCGAGATCAGAGAACAAGTCAAAACAGACACCCCCATATATGTATGTGAAGACGAGAAGTGAAATGAAATGAAAACACATTTTCCCTTTATCTGTTAACATTATCTGTTAACACACTGCAGTAACACAGAGCTGCTGAGCAACACTGTAGCTGACTTTTTGAAGAAGGTAAATATAGAGTCCCTGTAACTTGGGTTGGTTTGCCTCATTAATACACACACACACACACACACACACACTGTCAACTTATTCAATCTTTTATGAATACTAATAATTCTCGGCATTGTTTTGGTCTCTGAAGGATTATAAATGGCAAGCTTTTATTTTTTGTTGAGAAATGTTTCTCATTAAATGTTCAAAGCCACTGGGACCAAACAAAAAGCCTTTTAGACCCTTCCTGCTTCCAAAAGGAAACACAAACACCTCCTCTCTCCTGCGTTAACATCAGTCGTTCCTTTTAAAAAAGCTGTTTGAGTCTGAGTCCTATCCAGCCTAAACATGGTAATAAAACCAATAGGAGCTTTGCAGTTTGCCATAAAACTTGTTTGTATTGTGCTAAAAGAGAAATTAAATTTTTGAGTAAATATTACAGAGATGTCAAATATTAAAGATCTCCCACAGAGAACCTGTTACCATGCTGGTAACAAGTATAAGACAAGTGCACACCACTGCTGGAGTAAAGGGCACATCATCACCATAAGTAGGTTATCCCTCTTGTCTGCTGTGCTAACACACTCCTATAACCTCCTGTCAACTTTAATTTCAACAGCTCACTGCCAAAAATACCTCCTTCTCCCCAAAAAACATTGGCAATTCAAAGGCAAGGAAAAGAGTAATTCGAGAACAGATCTCCAGGGTAATCCTAACTCTACAGGGCAGAAAAAACATAACGTAATGTTAAACTATAACTGATACTGAACTGTAGTGTATAACAGCAAAGCTACATACAATTCAGACATTTTCACGGATGTTTTTAAGTTGCAAAAACTGAAATAAAATGAATGCATGATTATTGGGTTATGGTGACGATAAAGTGTTATTTTGTTATCTGATTAACTGGAGAAATGTATTAACAGAAGACTTTGAATTAGCTGTATCATTGTGGTCAAAACTACTACTAACTACACATTTTGTGTTGTTTGTACGTCTCTGTCGAGGGTTTGTCAGCGTCACTGCATGTTTCTCTTTTGGCGTTCTTATTGACCCAGTTACTGCGGCGGCTCTCTCTGGATAGGCAACTAAAACTGTGAGTTTCAGTCACTTGTTGTCTGATGTAATTGGGACTGATTGGATGAGCCTGAGGACAACAACCGTCCAGTGCACAGGAGAGGAGACGTGTCATCAAGCCACGGACACAGCTGGGAGAAGCTGGCAGCCCCCGTCATCGGCTTGCTGAAAATCTGCTTGTGCAGTTTCAACAGATGTCTAACAGGGAAAACACTGCACATGCCTGTGAGCACACAAAATCATGCACACATCATGCAGACTCTCTCAGACTGTCCATAAAGTGACAGTTGTACAACCAAACATCACAAACCACACACTGTGCATGAATTCCTTGTCGTACGTTTGAATCATTTTCACAGACCCCCAAACTGTTTACAGCCACACAATGTTTTCTTATTGGTGTCATGTGTATAAAGACAATAAAGTGTCAATATCATGCAATGTTTTTCAGTTGATGGTTCATATAAATATCAACACATATCTATGGTGAAATGACAGTCATCAATACTATTATTACCTCCACCAAGGAGGTCATGTTTTGGTCTGTGTTTGCTTGTTGTTTACTTTGCCTGATTACTCAAAAACTACTGGGCGGGTTACCAGGAAAACTTGGTGGAAGGATGCAGTATGGGTCAAGGAGGAAGCCATTCAATTTTGGTGCAGATCTGCATTTCTTTAACATTGTGAATTTCTAAATTTATATGCTGCACTGAGTCTCATTATAATTTCAAAAGTAACAGCCAGCATCAAAAAGGCATCAGGAATCCAAATGTGATGTCAATATATCATATATTTAGTAATCTAAGGATGACGATAAGATGCCATCTTACAAATCCTAAAAAACTAGTTGACCGGAACCATTCTTTACCAGTAAAAACCTATGTTTAGAGCTGAGAAATCACATTCATACTACAAACTTTGTAGTTTTCCCATAATACTTCTAAGACACTATCCACCCTTCTCGTTTCAATCCATGAAAGGGAGGAGGCGAACGAAACATTCACTTCCTGTGGCGAAGCAAATCTGCAGCGTGGCTTTGTATGAATGTGGGATATTTGCTTTGCATTGGTCTATGTGTGACTATGTGTCCTCATATATAAGCTGTTATCTAATTTGGCTTCCAGTGGGGAGCAAACAAACTCAAATTATTTCTTGGTGGTCTAATTTCAGGGATGCCTCTGCCCTTCCCTGGAGGGAGAATGATACACAGCAGTCTGAGCCAACTCCCTGCTTTAGGCCATTTAACTTGCAATGCCTTAACTGGCAGAGAGAGAGGTGGTGGCGGTGCAAGCTGTCAACACAAAGAATTAATTCTCACCTCCTCTCCACATTACTGTATGAATCGTGGGAGGCAGGTTACAAAATCAGTCAAGTGGCTGCTTTTGATGCTGCTACACATTTCATATAAACAGCTGAACGCGGTGATCTAATGTGGGAGGTCTTTTCTTCCTTTGCTTTCCCTCACCCCCAAGACTCCAGAGCAGGCTGCAAAATGCAGCTCCTCTGTAATGTCGGATCATCTTAATTGGATTGGGCAGTTCTGGATACAGCCCAAGTCTTTCATGCTACTCCAAAGGCAGTTCCCTTATGTTTTTTAGCAACTGATTTTGGCCTTCAGATGTCATCCCCTGCATATTCCTTCATACGGGATCACGACCGTGTGTAGCTTGTCAGTCAGTTTCTTCTCATCATTTGTTCATAAATGAGTGACAGTAAAGATTAACTGAGAAAGGTGGATCAAAAACATTACAAAAGACCTTTCAGGGATCCATGTGGTTCCAAACTTTGTGTGCATCAGGGGTAATTATCCTAAACTAATTCATTTGATCATTACAGCAGACAATCAATCTATTAAAACCCAACTAAGAGGCACAGCAGTGATGTCTAAACTGGGAGACACACCTATAACTTTGACACGAAAAATAGTGACCTACAGCAATTGCACTATAACATCCATTTCCCCATGTTGTTTTGTTTTTTGTGAGAACAAATCTCTCAGTTATAAGTGCTTGACTTCGCCCTGTCGCCAGGCAACACGAAACAGAGAGGCCTACGAATTAGTTCAGCATGAATGAACTGATGAGGGAGTCTCAATACAAGGCTTCCTATCTGCTGGTGCATTTTACATGCTGGAATGGGGGAAACAGAAGAAAATGAGAGGACAACAGTCATGAAGACCGTTGATAAACACACATGCAGAGTGAAAACAAGGATTCCTTGGTGGTATAGTAATTTGCAATTATACACATATGTATATTATATTGACATATAAATTGTATCGGTTGTATAGATTAAGAAAGGAAAGCTAAACAAGGCCTACTCCTGTTTAACTATGACACACTCAAAAACATCTCAACTGTCTCGCATTATTCTCCTCACAGCATGAAATCATCCCCAGCAAAGACATGGATTTACAGTTTTACTAAAAAATAAAGCTTGATAAAAAAAGCAACAAAAAATAAACAATGTCAGGGTTAGGTTCTAGTAAAACGGTCCATGAGGACATTGTGCATGTTGACGTTTCTCAATATGTATATGTATGTGTATGTTTTTACACATTGGTAAACTGTGAGCAGTGTGTGTTGAGTTAACGAGACACAGGATTGGATGAGAAATGGAGGATGGCTGTATGATCAAATCAACAGGACACATGAATGAGCTGTAAATCTCTTTGTAACAACATCTCTGAATCCCTGAGTTTTTGGAAAATAATGGCCTTTTAAGACTTGACTGTAAGACTACAGGAGGAAGTCACATATCAGAGTCAGCAAGGGCCTCTGAGAACATGGGTAGGATTCTGCAGAGAGCTGAATTCCTGCAGCATTTTAATGATGTTATTCGTCAAAAGCAATGCAAGAGAAAAACAGCAGGGTTTAGTCAAACTAATCACATTCAAATCAAAGTTTATTTCGGTTGATCGCTCATTATAAGCAGCCTCTAATGGAAAGAGACAAAACAATTTCTCTTCCAAAACAGCAGAAAAAATAAAAATAATCCCCTGCAGCCTGCACCGTCCCCGTCTAAATTTGTGCACTAACAGCATTTGTCTGGCTGACACACTGAGGAATAGATGTCAGCCAAGTAGGCCTGTGGGCTGCACATGGTTGCAGACGTTTTCCAGGTGAATCAAAACATTTTTGCTTGTGTGGAGTCAAATCACTGTTGAATCTCAAGTTTTGTGCTTTGCAGATCTTTCAAATGAACATGTTCCGTTAAATAAAAAGAAAATGTGATTCATTTCTGAAACTAAGATTAAAATACATATGCAACTAAAAATCTCATGAAAAACATGATTGTGAATAATCAAGTTAATGTCAGTGACTGCCATCCCTCCAGTGGCCTATATTTGTAATTTTCAGTTTTTACATATAATTTAAAACAGTGGTTCTCAAATGGGGGTCAGAGGACCCCTGGAGGTCTGCAGCACAATGCCAGGGCCATGAAATCGTCCCAGATTCATCCATGATCATGATATAAGAGTATCCTGTGTGGACATGGTGAAAATATTTTTAATACATGTCTAATATCTTTCTAAAGGGCATATATAATTCCAGAGGGAGAGGGGGCTCAGAGTATTTTCTACCTTGGCTGAAAAAACATAAAAAACCTCTGATTTAAAACCATCTGAGTCACTGTGAATGTTGCTCTGTGTTCGAATCAGTCAGTGGATTGTTTGTTGGCTTTGATCTCGCTGGTGGAACCGGAGCCAGATGTTTGTTTTTCCTGCCGTTTAATCCTTGGATCTGTTTCAAATCTCTGTCCGTGGTGCTGAACCCGCTCACACACGGTCCAGTGTTAAACAACCAGTCGATGACCAACTCAGACCGTTCAGCGTGTTGTTAAACAACAATGCAGAGGACTCAAAGTCATCTACACTGTTTGTGAACATCTTTTATGGAGCTGCGAGTCGACTTCACTTCTTTTCATTTGAGTTGCGACTGTATAAGTTTTTCATTACAAGTTGGTTCATAGCACAGAGGACACGTTTTACAGTAAATCCCCCCTCTTCTCTCTGTCTCTTGTTTCCTCATCTCATTCTTCCAACCGCAGTACATTAGTCTATATTACTTTTACCTACACTGACATGTCGAGTGAAACAAACCCAACTCCCCTCTTCACAGAAATGTGTGTAAAGATGCGTAAAAGCTTCCATCCGTGTTACAAAAGCAGAGATTGTCTGTTGAAAACAATGGAAACAAAAATGACGTTTACAGTAAAACATTCCATGCATGAGAAACAATAACCAACAAACAAATCAGTCATTTCTCCCGCACTTATGCCAAAAGACGCAAACAATAATTGTAGCCCTTTACCTTCACGAAGAAGACTCGTTGATGAAACCACAGTTCTTCCTCTTCTTTATTCTTCTTCCTCTTCTCTTTCCTCTCGGTTCCACTCGCTCCGTGTTGTCTCGTGTTAGTCGCGCACTGAGTCTGTGGCGTATCTCGCGCTCCACTGTTGAGACAGTCCGAGCCAATGGTCTGTGGAGCGCGCGGCGCGTGGCACGTGGTACACCCAACTTCAACCTGCGCTCCTGAACTACACACGCTGCACGACTGGTGCAGATACATTACTTTACATTCCTTAAGGGAGGTTTATGATCTGAATCACACTCTGACAATTACACACCAGGCACAGCTTCCAAAGACATCATCACTTTTTTGGCAAAGAAAATGCAACATTCATTCATTCATTCATTCAACCTTTATTTTAACTTGGCAATACATTGAGGGTAAATACCCGATTTACAATATGAGTACAGAAACTAAAGAAACATTGAGAGACACCAAGAAACACAACTAAGAAACAAGAGCAGTGCATACAATTTAATTTAAAACCAAGTCAATCCAAACAAATACATTGACATCTCACCTCATTTGACCAGCTGGGGTCAAATGAGGTGAGATTAAAAGTTTAAATTGCTTTAAAAATGAGTTGAGCTTTGAGGTGCATGATGAGGAAAAACTGGATTCAGCTCAGTAAATGCTGTTGGCCCCTGCAGTGTGATCCAGCCATTTAAGCGTTTTTGATGAGAGCCCCCATTAAAAGGCAGCAGTGAGGTGATGAAAATGTGTAAAGACAAATAAGGGCCTTATAGCTAAATAACCCAGAGAGAGAGGGTCCTCCAACATTGGCATATAACCCAAAATGAGTTATGAGTATTGTAGTTGTGTCAATGATTCAGCAAAAACTAACAAGGAGCAATAGTAGAAAGACAATAGAACGAGTGTTAACACTGTGATGAAAAGTGTTTTTTTTGTCTTTCATCCTATTTCCTCACATTCCTCTTTGATTTTCCGTTTGGGTTGTATACAAGGTGCCATCCAAAAACCACAGTGGAATATTATGCAAAACAAAATGCGTCAACAACAGAATCATTTAGTTGAGGCTCCTTTCCCAAACTTGTGAAAATAGAATGAGAATGAGAATAACAATAAAAAACAATAACAATAAGTTACATTTTTATATAAGTATGTAAATGAGGTCCGGAGCCATGTGTAATTCCAGAAAACAGTGATTGGACAAACTCAGCCAATAAATAATTCAGTGTTAAATGTGATAGTTTGAGGAGAGGAGTTGGTCCCATGTGCAGATTTGCCTGAGTTTCTTTCAGACAGACTTCAGTACAAACTGTCTCAGAGCATATGGACATTCATTTAGTCATTTCAGTGCATCTGGTGAATCCCATGCGTATGACTAAGCACCACACTCTCTTCCCGGCTGATTGTAGGAACAAGCTCCCGTCAGCTCGGGTCTGACTCGGCCTTTCACATTACCTCTCACAGGAAGACAAGCAGGACCTCGCTCTTAACATTCCGCATCACTTCTTACTTCCAGAAGCTTATTTCTCACATATTAAATAATTTCGAAGGGACCTTATTTTCTCCTGTGCTGTTTGTTCTTCTGCTTTGACAATCAAGCATCGAAGCCTACGGCACATTTCAGGCTGCTTCAGGCTGAACACTGATGACAAACATCTAACTTTCCTGGCATCCTTCAAGAATTATTCAAATGTTATGCCCTTACTGACCAGAAGAAGGTGCATCATGGTTTTTTGGCTTTCATTTGCTTTGGACTCAATTTTCACTTCATGTTTTCTTGGTCTTTGTTTGTTTGTTTCTTATGCAAACATAAATCAACCAGTCAACCTCCACAATCAACCCTGACTCAGTCATTATTCGCAAGGACAGTGATGTGCCTTAGTCTATAATAAACCTCCATCTGTTTTACTTCAGGCCAGAGCAGCTCTCGTAAGACAACAACATGGCTGTATGTGACTCGGCACTTGCAGTTTCGTAACATGAAGTATAGTGAAGATATTGTGCGCATGTGTGTTTCCATTTGTGTAATTGAGAGAGAATGAGAGAAACCAGTGGAGTGTAACATATAGGTGTTAAACAAAAGCTCACACCAGCTGGGTCCCCAGTCAACTCACTGCAGGGCTTTCTCTAATCAGATGGCAGCTCCATATATGAATCATCTTAGATGGACACAAGTTAAATAAAGCTGTACAACATGTGTCCAATTTAAAACAGCATAACAAACCTAGAGCAAAAATTAGGTTTTAATAGAATTAACACACAATAATGAAGTCGTGTATTTTTAGGTCAGGTATACATAGATTTGAGATTCACTAACAGAACAGCAAGGATTTGAAACTCTAAATTACCTTCAACGCACCACATGGTAAAACCTCACAAACCTCTTCCTATCATTTAAAGCCACCATTAGGATAATGAAAAACCCACCACATGGGGGCTCTCCTTTGAAAAGAGGTTGAGATCAGAGGAAATGAAAACTTGTAAAAGTTTAATACAAAAACAGCAAGAGAAACAGTTTCTACCTGTCTGTGTCTCTGTGGGATTAAGTGATCACCAGTGACTGTTAAGAAGTCATCTTTAAACAATGTTCAAACCCAGACAGGTTAATTCAAAGTAGCACAATCTTTGATTTTGGCTGCCTTTTAATTGTGTCACATGTGCTTTACCTGAGGCTTTGCACACATGGCACTGCTATAACATCCAAGCAAATGATGAATGAGAAAGATACTATTGGTCAGTCAGCTGATTTTTCCTTCCATTATTTGTTTTGGTCACCTGTGATGGATCATGATTATTCCTCACTGTTGGGAGCCTGTAATGTCATGGAAGCTCCCAGTAAAGTATACAAACACACGAGAAAATTATGGGGCAAGAAACGATGGTGAAGACAACAATTCCCAAGATCCCACACTGCTTCATGACACAGTGAAACTATCTATTTATTTTATTATTTTGAACAAAAAATCTCTTTGTGACATACAAGTTACTTATTGTAGCTTTAATTTTTTCCGACTTTTTCTCCTTTTTCTAGCATTGACTATTTTTATTTCTGAAAGTGATCATATGATAAACATTATATGGTTTAAATTCTGTCTGAGCAGAAGAGAATCAGTATAAGTTCTTAGTCATTATGTGCATATTAAATCATACTTTAGATTCTACTGTATAAGAATATATAACCACAGATGTTATATTATGAATCGTTTGCTTGAGCTAAAAAACTTTTTCACCTCTGAATCTTGTGTATTTGGTAAACTGGGTTCAGCTCCAATAGGTCAATATGTAGCTTCTTAAATGAGTAATGGTCTCCACATAAATCCTCTTTTTACTGAAGAGGAAACCTCAGCTTCACCCACATCCAAACTTTAGTGAAATCTTTAAATGAATCGACCAGTGTCAATCAGATCCTGGACAACCAGACTGTGATGCTCCTCAGTCCAAGTTTACCCTGACATCTTCTGACAGTAGTGAGGGCTATGCTATTGTCTTTCATCACTCACACCCCCTGACTCTGCCAAGACTCAAGCTTAGCCATCCAACTAATAAAGGAGCCTGGAACATACAAACACACAACCAACGCACCCCCACACAAACTCACACCTTTGCATAAGCATGAAAACAGAGAACACACCCTCACATGCTCAATATTGCATATGGTCTCATAGTGTTGCACAGAAACATCCACACCTGAAAATATTGAACTGGGTGTGGGTGAAGATACTGCACATTGTCAACAACAGGTATAAACTATTCATTTGATTCATACTGCAGCAACATTTTATACTAATGTGATGATTATTTACTGTAAGAGATATATATATGTCTTGTAAGAGCTGCTGCTATAATCTGGTGGGTGAGCAGATGCACAGGATTACAATTTGGTGTACTGGTCACAGATGTCGCCAGATGGAAGTGGGGGGAAAGAGGGGAAAGGAAAGAAATAGGAAGGGGAAAGGGAAGGAAATGAATGGAGAGAAAGGAATTGAAAGGACGGGAAAGGAAAGGGAAGGAAAATAAAGGAAAGGAAATTAAATTAATATGGAAAGGAGAGGAGCAAGTAACATTTGAGAAGAAGAGCAGAGAGTAATAAGATGTGAAGGAATGAAGAGGTGAACATTTGGAACTTTTAAATGAGAAAAGACAGCGATATGACAATATGTTACATCAGATGACACAGTGACAGCTTTCTTAAAATACATACATTTACTCGTCTCCCTATGGGGGAAATAATATTACAATATAATATGCTGGTTAAGTTCACGTGGCAAAAAAAAAACTCACTTACGTAAGCACGGATGTCATTTTCTTTTTTTTTTATTAGCATTATCATACATTAAGTACAAATAAGACAATCAGTTACACGGTAAGAAGCTCAGACTCATTTGAAAGGTTTTCAGGCTGACGAGGAGAGAAAACAACAAACACCATTTGCAAAATACAATATATTCTTCCTTATACAGTCTATGTAGACATCTACTGTAAGTCATTTATGTACAACGTACAAGGGATGCTGAGGTTATGAATGAACAAAGAGAGGAGCGTTAAAGACCGCGCTGATGTTTGGGTTTAGGAGATAAGGCATTCCTGCACATCGCTGATCCTGTGCTCTGTGTACGGCCACAGAGACAGCAGTTCACTTCAACTCTCTCATCTCACAGCAAACAGGACACCGAGGGGAGAGTAATGACTTGCTACAGAGAAGAAAGATGTTAAATAAAGAAAAGGAGTAATGTAAGTCTCTCAAATATCTATACATCGGAAACATTTACTTCACAATCTTCTGGATGTCCTAATCACTTGCTTACAAAAAAATGGGTGAAGGGGGTCAAACAAAATGTAAACAAAGAAAAACACTTGGCGTATTCCTGTCCTGTGATGAGAATCAGTACAGGGGGAGGGAAGAGTGAAACTGATGCCAACTGTGTGGCGTGAATCGCTCAAGAGGAGTCAACAGCCTTCCTGGCCTGATGGATTTGAAGGAGTGAAAGAAGGAGATGAACACTCTCGATAAGATGATGGATTGACTTTGGGCCCAGGCACTGAAGGAAGGAAGGAAGAGCAGGTATGGCGTGAAAGAGGGCGTGCACACGAAACGAACGAGGGGAGGGACGGTTCAATGTGACGAGGCACAGGAGGGTTGTCCTTCAAAGGAGACACCATCGTCTCCCACTGAACCATCACATGTTCATTGTTCGAATGTCTACTGCCGACATGTCTTCATCATCATCATCATCATCATTCAGTCATTAATAGGCACAGGGAGGTTAAGGTGAAGCAGACAGGGATGAAACTGTAAAGGTTATTGGTGTCAATCAATCAAATGTGCATCAAATTCTGATACACACAAGTGACGGAGCATTTAGGTGAAGGAACGGTGAAGAGGTGATTTTTTTTCAAAAGATTCTTTTATTTACATTCATGAGGATTCACGTGTGGTGAGCTGAAACACTAACAGAGCAGAACTGAGTCAATGAACAAGGGTCGTTTGTATTGAAAACGCATTAAGTCGAGTAATGGAGTAAAAGAGAGACGTTAGGAGGATGAGGATTAAAAGGGAGGTGAAGTTGGGAAAGGCACACACTGGGAGAGTATTAATCTGTTTTTGTTTTTTCATGCTCACATTGACTGTGACTTGATAATCTGAAAACATTTAAGTAAGAAGACTTGAGGAGCCTTGATTCTATTAAAGGGATGGTTTTTAGATGACTAAGTCTGCCAACAAAGAGGTTAGAGTTCAACTCGGATGAGGCAGAGACTGTTGCTGACTAAGGTCTGAGTATGAACAAGTAATATTTCAGAGAAATTCCCTGTGGATGTTGAATCAAATGCTCCACAAGCTGAAATGAATTTCAGACATTATTTTGAACAGGAAGCAGAATATAGCGTACGGCTAGTTGACTGTAACTGGCATGACAGTATACTCATGGCATCATGCTCGTACTGTGTATATGCTATGTGGCTAACAGAGTGTACAGCAGGTGTGGCCTTAGGCAGGACTCAGGCCGTACAGGGAGAAGCTCACACAAAGAGTCATCCATGTTGACTACAGCTAGTGCAACGCTGCTATTGACGGGTTCTGGCTTTTTTCAGGTTTGGCACATGCAAAAGGTTATACACGACAGGAAACACGGCAGGAGAGTGACTCTTAGAAAGAAAAACACATGGAGAAACTATTACGTTTCAATAGTTCCTATCTACATCAGTCAGATATGAGTTTTCCAATGTGATATATCAGTTTTAAAACATTCCTGAATTACATGAGCAGGATCTAGAGAATTAAAAAGGACAAACAGCTGAACCTAATGGCAACATTAACAGATCAACAACAACACAACATTAAGAATATAACATAAAACCCCATTCATGAGACACTGGAGAGCGACTGGTCCCACTGGCCTAGCAACTCACTATGGATCTGGATTCACTGTTCTACGCTGCCCTAGAAGGCAAAGGGAACCAGGTGGCATACTGTATTTATATATATCAAGCTTGTGGAGGGCACTGCTCTAGAGCCAGTGATTGGATTTCAGGAGAATAAAGTATCAGTATGTATTTAAATTCATAATATTTAGTAAATGTCTTTTCTGCCTTCTCTTTTATTTTTTGGCAAAATCACTGTTGTTGTTTACTTTTCACTCACACACACACAGCTCACAAATCTGCCTGAGAATTTGGACTTTCAGGGTTTTACAATCAGTTGTGTTATTTCAGATTCAGGATCAACCTAGACTTAAATCTGCATTCAAGTGGTGAGTTCAAATCAAGTGCAAAGATCGACTTTAAAAGTGGTGAGGAGGACTGGCTAAAGTGACAGGGCAGTACAGTTTCTGTGTTGCACCTCCTGTGGAAACCTCTGATGAGCCAGCGCCTATATGTGAGGATCTACAAGACCATACGGAAGCGCACACAGCTCAAGGAACTGCATCTGGATGACTGTCATTTCCATCACTACCTGAGGCTGACCACTGGCTCACCAGTAGCCAGTTTGATGACCTGCTAGCTCGGGTTGGTGCCAGGATGTGAGTCCAGCGAATTTCATTCTTAATGCAGATTGGCTTTCGTGTGAGACACATTTTTCATTCAAGTTCAAAGATTTCAACTCGAGCAGGAAACGCAAATGATGGAATTTCACCTCTATAACTATGCAAATCTTTGTCATCTTCTTGTCTTGTCACATGTTTTTATCGACTTTGTTCGTAATCTTATAGCGTGAAAACTTTGCTTTGCATTTGGTGTGAACTCAGCGTTAGGGTTTTAATCTGTGATGACTAATGGCCAACTTTAAATTCCATCATTGAGAAACTATATGCTTCTCTCTGTCTTCCTGTAGGTTTCATTAGACCTACAATCAACTTGGTTTGTAAAGAGCCATGTGAAGGAGGCAGTGTATTTTAGAAAAAAAAAAAAAAGTTTGAAATAACCTGAGCAAACAGATACATGGCGAATCAGGAGTATACTCTTCAAAACATTGTTTAACGACTTTTCCCAACATTAAAACGCTGTGCCCATTGGAATCAACATAAATTTAAGCCGGCCGCTATCCTTCAAGACAGACGGAACAACAACAGATGACTTTGAGTGGAGCATTGTTTAAAGGTTGTAACTCTTTGGGGTTTCATACTTCGTAGCATGCAGCATTCAGCGTATCACGTGCATGAATGATACCTACCAACAGCATGCAGATACAGAAGAACAGTCAACAGCCAGACAGGCATCCAACTAACACACAATCTGCAGTAAAAATCATCCAATTTGATTAAATCAAAAGGAAAAGGAGAAAAAAAAATCTGATAAGTCTGGAAACACCAGCAGAACCGATATTTTTACAGCTTGCTAAATCTGGACTTTATTTAAGACATCCAGTTGTTCAAAGGTTGATTTGTACTGTGTTACCTTTGCAGTTGTTTAATTATTATTATTATTTCGTGCACATACAAATCATGGTTTGTCTAATTAATGTAATAAAAGCACATTCAGGTGTTGGTATAAAAACTAACTTCTTATACTCTTTTTTTAAATAACTCATGATTATTTACAAAGGAGTTTTACATTGATATTGGACAGATTAAAATATTCATCTGATCTAATGGAAATATATGTGTGAGGAGATTCAAAACTAATCGACATGAGACTAAAAGATTAAAGGTTAAAGGTTCATTTTTAACTATTGTATTAATGATTATGTCAACATAATGAGGGAACAAAACAACTAAAGTAGTTTTTGATTTGCAACTTCCGTGTCCAAGAAATGTGACTAATGAGTTTCATCGACGCTTGATGTCATGATACTGTATGCAAGAAAACGTTGCATGGTTAATACACAATAATATTGTAATATCCTAGAACAAAATTATAATAAGTGTTCAACAAAATGTCTTGTACTGATTCTGTTAAGACATTTCTGATTGAAAACAGAAACATCCATCGCACATCTATTGCGTGACAGGTGAAAAGGGTTAAGTGGACAAAATGTTGTTGTAAACACTCCTGCACACGATCTTACTTGCAGATTCTTGTGATATTTTGGTGCTAGATCTTCTTCAGGCATATGGTTTCTGATAAAGAGAATAATAATAATATTTATATCACAAATAATTATAGCACTGCAAGTAACACAGTGTGCGGGAGGGTTTTCATCACACATTTATGATCGTAAGTAGGATTCTGTCGTCGTGGGCAGAGAGGGACAAGAGGAACACTCACTAGTGTTAACAGGACAAACTGTAAACTTTTTAGGTTTGATTTCTTATGGTATGAATCGCCACTGTCCACATACTAAACTGATTAATGTTGCTTGTGTGTCCACATAGTGTCAATAAAACTATTGATAATGTAAGTGTAAAGTCTGCAGCTCAGCGAGGGCTAGGAACTAAATTTATGAATCATTATTTTCACTGATTATTTTTGATAAACTAAAACTGACTGACACTTTGAGACCTATGTTTCTCAAATATTTGCTTTTCTATTACAGACTGCTTATCATTTAAATATTACTCCATTCACTCTTTAGTTGATTTGCTACGCAGAGTTAAAAATGAGACTAGCAGGAATCAACTTGTGCTAAAAGTAAAGATTTTTACACCATCACCATGAAATCAAAGGGGAAGAAAACTGTAAACATTGAATCAGGAAAAAACATTGAATCACAAGGTGCTGTTTCAACACCTGCACCCCCTGTCCTTCATATTTGGCTATAGCGTCTACTACACTGCATTATATGGGACTTTTTCCACTCATCACATACAGTCATATCGAGAATGTTATGATTATCCACATAGAATCAAACTGTAAACCACCAACTAGATCTGCAGATTATAATGATCATCTTTTGAGATTTGTAAGGATGAATTTGTGCACAGAATAATCCACGCCTTAAATGCTACCGTATCTTAAATGAATCATATACTGGCATAGACAAATAAAGCCGGACATTCTTCTGTCTCAGTTGCTCCAGTTGTGGAAAACCTTCAATGTAACCTGCAGGTTATACATTTCCATCATGAAGCTAAAGGAAATCCTTTCTTGTGGTGGCCAGATACAATCTTATCTATATAAACTATACTGGCAAAGATATTTGTACAGATCAAATTTGCATGTCTTAAATTCCTGTTTTTGAACAGAACAAATACACAAATTGGGCCTTGATCAAGTTGTGGTCAGATGTTGGATTGGTGGTTGGTTTAAGTGGTTGGCAGTAAGCAGGGAGATCCTTCAGGGATGTTTCCCTCATCCTTCTCATTCGGTGCTGCTGAGCGTCGGATGTGCAAACTGCGGGTTGATGAACGAGAACCCTGAAAACTCGGCCTGGTCGATGTTGGCGATGACCAGCTCATCTGATGGTGTGAGCTGGGTCTGAGTGCGTGTGAAGAACTTGTCAAAGTTCTCTGCTCCTTTGCCACACTGTAGAGAAGAGACACAGAGAAGGAGAAGATGTTTACAGGTGAGGTATGTTACATAACATGAAGAGAGAAGCAGACTAGCTGGACAGGACAGACAAATAGAATGCCAAGCGCTGGCATCAGTATGCACACTGCAATTTAGAGGACGAGAGCCGCCATTACATTCAGCAGAATCTACTTTTGACTTCTTGTAAATGTTTACAAATGACTGCAGAGCACAGGACACATCCTCATAGTCATCATCAAACAACATCAGCTGCTCACATGGTCATCACCTCACTCATTAAAGCAAATAAAATCACACAACTGGACAAACGTGGACAAACAGGCAGCATATGTGTGTTGTCCCACTTCAACCTGTCAACAAATTAAAATGCTTCTTCCTCCTGTCCCCTGGCTGACATCAAAACATTTCACACCTGATCCCCCACTTTTCCCTCTGACAACATCAGATTACATGCTCTACATCTTCATTCATCTGAATCGCTCTGCAGCCTTCTGGTGCCAAAATAACATTGTCACAGCTGTGCAAAGGCCGAGGTTTAACTCCATGAAAGGAAATGGCGTCAGGACCTCTGCAATGAGAAACACTGTGTTTGCACTGCTCTCATAATCTCCAGCTCTTTCATCTTGGCTCAGATATGATGTGCACGTTCCTATGCGCATTTTCCCCCTAAGTGTCAAATCTACTTAACTGCCAGGAGAATTAAATGATACGTTGGGTAAGAAAGCGAGGTGCACCAAGGTGACGAAAGGGTTAATTGGTTTGTTCATACAGAGAGAGTCAACCAGTCAGCATTTAAGACGAGGCATCAAAAGTGTTTTCATGTTTCTTTGATGAGGAGATAATCAAATTAAATCAAAGACACAGATACGGATCATGTCACATGGCGGAGGAGTTAGCACTCCAGAGAATTTCACAGCAAAGGAAGGTCATGTGCTTGTTCAGGGATGTGGGCGTGCATCTCATTTTGTTGCTGCACTGAAAAAAATAATCATACTTGACACTTATAACTGCAGCAGCTTCTATCATGAAAATGATATGTTAGAAGGAGTTAGTTCAAATAGTGATTATTGCAGGTGTATTTTTACTATGTTCCTCCATAAGTAAAACTGTTTATAATGCACATACAGTATGTCTTCTTATTCCTGTGCTCAGTTTGTATTGTGTTGTTCTTTGTAAATCTGTCTAAGTGCGACCAAGTCAGTCAACAATGAGCTGGTGGTCTGAAAATGAGGCTCGTGAAATCAGAAGAGAGAGAATTGCAGCAATCACTAGAAACCAGCCACTTTTTAATCCCTTTCCATTTTCTTAAATACATGTCTTTCTTAGGTTTAGCTTGTAGATGATCTGCTTACAAGTGAACACACAAGTGCAAATGGCCCTTGGTAATCTCAAGATTCTTAAAGGTAAAAAAAAACTAGATGATTTCTTCACCAGCACTATTCTTTAAACTTTGGGCTCCATGTTCACCTGTCACTTACTTCTGTTCTGATATCACACATCAAAGTTTAGACACTGATAATTGTTAGTTCCTATTGTCTGATTGGGTTGTGGGGTTGGGAACCATTAAAACCTGAGAGAGGGAGCGTATTAGAGACAGAGTGATGGATGCATACATCCTCTTACTATATCCTCATCAGCTAGTCCACCTACGCACTGGGCTCACCTACACAGATGCATGCATTCACAAACGCACACGATCATGCACCCAGATACACTTGTGCACCCATATTCCGGGACCCGCTGCAGCCGTTGATAAGCATTCATGTTCCCTAAGGAGATACTGTTCTGCAGCTGGCAGAGAGGATCAGTGAAGCCGTGAAGCCAAATGCTGCCGGCCTCTAACACAGGGCTTGAAGAGAAAGGAAGCATGATGGCCCCATAACACTTTTGGCACTGTTGTCATAGAAATAAACATCGGTGCATTAGACTCGAAGGGTTGTTGTGACTGCAAAGGCAACATTTCACCGAACACGACATCAGAATAACATGACATCAATGCACATTGAAAACTAAAATACTGCCTAGAAAGACAATGCTGGTAGATCAATTAGTTTCTAGTTTTAATGGTGAGAGATTACTTGAATATTCTTCTTTAGTTAAAAGAAATTGTTAGATAGTGTATTATGAGAGAGAGATGCCTTTCTAAATGAATGACCTGTTCCTGATTTCCTGCCAATTCATCTGAGCTTCATCATCTAATTGAATCAACAACCTGCTGCGGTATAGAAGCTATATAAGGTCTGCTTCTTTCACCATGACGCTGCCAGCTCACCACTCACTTCTGTGGGTTTGTTTTCACCCTTTTTTATTTGAAACATTTGTTATCGTACCTGTTTTTGCCTGCGTGTACAATCACCTACATGCTTTGCAATACTTGCCAAGCTCAGCCAGTCTCCAAGGCAACTGTTGGATTTCTTATAACATTATCAGGTCTCTAACTAAGTAAAACTGACCTGAGGTAATATATGTTGTGCTTTGGCGCTATATATATAAAATGAATTCTAATTGAATTAAAAATTGAATAGCTGTATGTTGTTTGTATGTTTATGTTTTCAAAAGTAAAACTGCTCTGAGCAAAGCTGTTTGGAATCCTCTGACTTCTGCTTTACTCATGACCACTTTTGAAAGAAATAACCTAGTAGACAGACACAAAGCATTTGTCTCTTTTCTGGGTGGTAAGAAATATTACAAAGACCGCATTCACTCAGTAGGAAGAGAGGGTGGTCCACTAATCAGAAGGTTGGTGGTTTGCCCTCAAGAACTTCTTATTTGCAATTTGTCCTCGGGCAAGATACTGAACTCCAAATTGCACCTGATGGCTGTATGAAAGGTGGGTGATAGGGGAAAAAAGGAATGTGTGTGTGTGTGTGTGTGTGTGTGTGTGAATGGGTGAATGTGACTTATAATGTACAACACTTAGACACTAAGACTAGAGAAGCAGGACAAGAATACATTCCATTTACCATCCATTTACATTATGCTTCCTTTACTTCAATCTGCTCCAATCATTTCTAATTATCATCAATTCACTGTGAGGTCACATAGAACATGTCAGGTGATCTAATACAAGTGAACACAACATTAAAATGCTGAGACGCAGACGTTTCTAAGGTGTGTGTTTGTTTGTTTGTTTGTGTTTTTCAAATGTCCTCCTATGACTGTTGCCTCTGACAGGTGACGTTTGCTTCAAGCCACTACCTCCCTGTCAGAGCGGATAGAGGGCAGGACGCACACCTCAAGGCAGTGAGTGAATGTGGCTCTGTGTGCACTCATCTGAATGCGCTCTATCTTTCCCACACAGCAGATACCTGATGGGTAATTGCCAGGATCCTTCAACCGCTATGTCTCTCTGTCTACCAGTCTTCTATTCTATCACTGACCATCTGTCGCTCAACTATTTTTCACTTTAACTTCCACCAACAATCGCCAGCACCAGACTGTCTGTATCCAGATCAATCTTCAGGGAAACTCCAAAGAATGTGCAGGACAAAGCCTCAGCTGCTGAAATGATTGAGTTGAATTTTTGGAAAACATCTATTCTCGTCCATGTCTTTTTATTTCTCTTTACTTCTCATGGAGCTTTATTCTGTGTGAATGAGCCTCACGCTGCAAATTAAGGATGATGAATAGTCTCGAAACCATTTCCTAAGAGCTGTTCCCACAAGATAAACGAAGCTCAAAAGATAAGCTCGGCGAGAATAAAACGGCAAAATTAGGTTCTGAACTATGATCTTATGAAAATCTGCTTCACTGCATTTTGTGATTTTTTTTTTTTCAGGACACAAACTTGCCCTTTTGAAAAAGAAATGAGCTAGTGGTACATCTGCTGTTTCTCATTGTGTCATCCTGCCAACCCTTATGGGATGAGACCGCATCTATTATGCTGTTGATACATCCTCCCATACACAGTGACAGTGTGCTACATGGGTTTATGACCTAAATTCTCTCATCTTTAATCTCTCCCTCCCTCTCCGCACACACACAGACATGCACACCTCTGCAGTCAAGCATATTAAAAGAACACTCAGCTACTTAGGATGATAAATGAGTGCCTGCCTCCATGAAGAGTTGTGCCAAGATGCTCTCCCTCTCTCTCTGTGTCTATACCTCGCTCCTCCAGAAGCCCCTGGCATGGGAAGCTCTCCATCTATATCGTCAATTTAACCTTTGTGCTTTGTTTCTTTGAATTCTTAGATTTAAGTAATTTGAACATATTGTAGGTGTTATTTTATGGAATTTAACAGAAAGAGGTTTTATTCAGGGTTGAGTTTTTCTGAAATGCTGCCCTGTAGGGAAACGTATCCCCTATCGTTTTCACTGCTTTATTTCATGAATACGTAATACAACAAAATCACAAAGCACAGCTGAACCCATTAGTTATTGGAGCAGAAAGCTACCGATGTAACCGGGACCTTCCATGAGCAGCAGTGGAACATTTACCATTAAACAACTTTAACATTTATCAGCTTCTGCGGTGTCTAAACAGATGCAAGTTTCATTCAGGACTACATTTTCAGAGTAAGAGTAAGTTAGGAAATAAAGAAAGAAATATGCAAACAAACTGAAAACTCTTCCTCTTATGTCCCGAAGGCCAAAGGAGGAAAGGCAGACATGCTTAGTCAAGCAGCAACAGACTGTGCCTCTCATTTTCTTACAGCTACATTGACTCACATATTGCCATCATTTTCTGTGTGTGTGTGTGTGTGCGTGTATCCCAACAGGCATGCGCATCCCTTCCTTGGACAATTTTCCAAGACTTCAGTGTGGTGACTAAGTCTTCCCACTCTTTCTTCTGGCCCTGCCTCCACCCCTCCTTCATTCACTATCAAACAGCTTCTTTCTATTTGACCTACTTTTTTTTTACCTCCCTGGTCCTGTCAGCCATGAAGACTATCATCCACATGTGGGTATCCGTGTATTGTTGCTCCCAAGAAATTAAAGTTCATACAAACACTGGCCAGTTTTGGATTACATGCTTTGTGTTACCTGCAGCAGGCAGCCAAGCAGCGAAAGAGCCCCACACAATAATATGGATCAACACTAACTTAGACCTCGCTGTCTGAAGCTCCGGTCCAATTGCTACAGATGATTTGAATCTCTCAGCTGGGTGCAGCCAGTATATTGATTGCAATTCCACAGCTGTCACAGGTGGATGAAGTGAGATTGAGCGGGGATAGATGCACACGGAGAAAGGGAGGAGGAGGGGGTGGATTAGAGATGCAGGGTTAGACCTGGTGAGGGGTGAGAGGGAGTTGTATAATGAGGGCCTCAGAAACAGTACTGTGTTACATGGTATAGTGAGATGGACATGATGGATCATAATAGGTTACAGTGGTAACCAGGGGCATTAAATAGTGTCTTTTGTTACATTTTTTCCACCACTCTCATCTTTCACCTTTATCTGCACCATACAGCCTGAGCCCTGCAAGCATGCACTGTGCAAAACACATGCATGTTTGCATGCATCCACATCCCAGCAATGTCAGAGTGAAACACACAAGCTTTCCCCTGATATCGATCGCAGCAGATGGACACAAAGATGAGGAGTACATGCAAGGAAATCTTCCTCCCCTGCTTTTTACTGGTAACCTTCACTTTCTTTAACCTTCCCACACAAACACACACACACACACACACACACACATATATTTAGTCACACATACACACACAAAGCACACACAGCATTTCCAGGATATCCAGCACGCCCACTCAGCGGGAGACTACATGAACACAAAGGCCAGGATTCACCTTATTAATGGAACTGGAGCCCTTGAAGGTTGAAACAGAAGAAGAACTACAATATTTAAAATGAATATGTAACCCGCACACACACGCACACACAAAGTGACCTACTTTATCTATATTGCCTTGTGTTTTTGTTTTCTTTTTTAAAAAAGGATGTCAGATAAACACGTCAGAGTCTGTGTGTCTGACAGAATCTTATAAAGACAAGGTGAAAGCATGTGTATATCTGTGCTCTAGATAATCATGTGTAAATTCAAAGGAACATTCATAATTAATGAAAGTTACATTAATTATACATAAAGATGAATGGCTTTGAAATTACTTATGGTCCACATAACACATGCCATATATAGCCTATGCCCACATTTTTATTTTTTTCCAGACCATAAAAAGATTTCGACAACACTAATCGCACACAAACCTTCTCTTCTCTTCTCTTCTCTTAACATTTCGCTCCCGGCTGTGTCAGCCACTCTTTATGGCAATATCAGCCAAGTGCTTGCTCTGTTCCTTGCGTATCCTTTTTAATGTCCCCAGGTCAATGTCAAGAATTAAAAAACATTTGGAAGGGATGTTTCCAAAACAAATCTGTACTAGTTATCTTGTGAATTCCCCTGACATGCCAACAATACATCCTGGTAGTTAACCCAGTATCAGGGTGACCTTTGCTTCTCAACCAGTCTGTTCTGTGATAAGCTGCATGAAAGGTTGAGAAGGTTGTAGAAATGACTTGATGTTCTGCACCCCCTGTTTAGTTTCATTTGAGTGAAAACCGTGAGAAACTTGTTTAACCTTTCATCACCTGTGGTATCTTCAAAAATCTGGTAGTTGCAAAATAATTCAGCTGCTACAGGTAAAAAAAAAAAGGTGCATTACAATAAGTTGTAACTAGTGCCTTTCCCTGTTTGTGTGTGTACTCTTAAAAATCTGACTGAAGGCTGAGGAACAAGTTGTCAAACAAACAGCCAAGAACTAAGAGTCCCAGAGGGAGAAGATTGCACAGCAGAATATGTCTTGCCATAACAGATTTGTCTTCAACAGATGACCCCATCCATCTGTTCTTGTTTGGTAACACGTGTGCACTTCAGAAGGTTGCATGTGTTCACTTGTCCTCTCTATGTGTACTATGTTTGGATGGAACTGCATTTAATGTTGTGTTGTGTTTGAGGGAAAACTGTGGAGGAACAACATTGTCTTTTTGATCGGGACATAGTGTGATGGCAAATGTGGCCTTATTTTAATGAAGGCTAAACCCATGTGAGAGATGCCACCAATCATCTTAACCTTGGTAATTAGAGTAATTGTCACAATTAATTAGACTGTTAAGATTAAATTAGACCCTGAGCAGGATTATTCACAGGACTTACCACTTTGGGCTTGAAGGGCGGCTGTATCTCCCGGTTCTGGAGGCGTTCCCAGTCGATGCGTCTGAAGAAGGCATGCTCTCTGATGTCCCGCTCTGCCTCATTGCTGCAGCCCAGACGCTTGGACGGGTGCTTGGTCATCAGCTGCTCACAGTAAGAGAGACAGGGACATGGAGTTACAAGAGAAGACAGAGATGATTCCACTCGTATCAAGATCATTAACTTTACATTTAGTGGAGACTCTCCACTCAGATGGGTTCAAATTAAATAAATCTCCAGAGGATTCAGGTGAGGGGTGGTGCTGCACCCTCTGTGTCTTCTGCGTGTTTGGCACCGCTGATATATTTGTTTTATTTTGTTTTTTTGCATCTTTTACATGTTAGAAACATCATTAACACACTAACTTGCTTGCAGTGAATCCCGTGGAGGATCTCCTGCTGTGTTCTCACATCAGCCTGTTTGGACATTCAGCACTTTTTAAGGGGACTGGCCGGAGGACATTTGTGCTCACATACAGCCCCTCCGGAGAATGTCCGGAGGGGCTGTATGTTTAAAGGTTTAGGGTTTGGATCTCACATTGTTTCCTCCTACTTCTCTGTTCTTTCTCTGATGTGTTTCCTTATGTGACTCCACCTCTTATCTAGGTCAGTAAATGACAAATTAACAGATGGGTCTGGAAAAAAGTGACATAACTGTTTTTTTCCTCCACTCTCCCTCTGCTTGTTCTGCCTTTAGAGAACTGCTGCCACTTCCAGTTGCACCATAGACAACATGAGGACACAATCTGCACTTGGTCAAAATGTAGCAAGACAAAAAAATGTACCCACAGGAAAAATAACCAACAACAAAATCAGTCCTGGTTAAAATAAGACGGAGCTCACTGACATTACTTTAATGTAATTATCCAAATAATAGGTTAAAAATCTGTTTGTTGCAGTTGACCTGGAATATATGGATATATATATATATATATATATGGAAATGGTTGAAGCCTTCTGTCCGTACTCCTGCACAAACGAAATGGAGCAGTAGCATAGGAAAACATGGGGGGCAGTGTAGCTAATAGATCAAATGAGGGGACCATCTGACATAATAAAGACATTTAAATAACGGCGGAAGTTTTTGAGGAGAAACTTTACGAGTTGGCAAAAACTACAGGCATCTATATGACCTTACTTCAAGAGGCACAGGGACAAACAGACGGTTTTGCCTCTTCCTGAAGACGTTCATTTTCTCAAAAACTACTCAGTATTCCTACAAACTTGTTTGGATGGTAGGATGGGTCATGAAGAAATTTTTTTTTATATCTGAACAAAGCAGTGGGTCCAGGAATTTTTCTCACTTCATCAGGCATATTCAGTGGACTGATATCTTGGGATATGAGTGTGGGACAGTTGGATTGAAATTAAGGGGACAGTTGGGCCTTGGTGGAGGTATTGAAATTGAAACCATTGAGGGCCATTTTAGTTTTTTACTGTACCATACATATACTAGTCACAGAGGCCAGTTTTCTTGATGCAAGCCCTTCGACATAAAAGCAATGGGCTGGGCCACATCTGAACTAACAGAGTAAATCGAGCTGGCAGAGTAATTCACACAGTTGTTGACAAGGAAGAAAAAGTCATTTGCAGCTTTCTGTCTGTTCGCAGGAGTGTCACTGACGCTAAGAAAGCCTCCTGCTGCAAACACACAGGCTGTCACCTTTAAAGTGACTCACCTCACACCTTCAAATGTCCTGAAAGTGACTGACTGCTGGACTGCCAACAATCAAGTCCTGTTGTTATTTTTAAAATATATATTTTTAGGTAGATACGACATCTGGGTGAAAGTGCTTATTTCGTCTTCTTCTACCTCTTTATTTTGACAGTCTAGATGCTGCACCTTTTCCGGCATTGCATCATTGTTTTTTATATTTTGGGAAGAAAATACAATAGTGATTCTTTCTTCATATGGTGCAAGATGCAACAGTGGTTAACCATGACACATAAAGGCTAACTCCTCTGCTAATAATGTGACAGGAGTCAATTTCCCTTTTTAGCAGGTTTACGTGCGTATGAAAAAACCTGTGTATACCCACTAATTTTGGTGTAAAAGAGGTTTAAGTCAGCAGGGAGTCTGGTCACATACAACTGTGTGGTTCAGTTCACCATGATCATATATCTTGAAGCAAAAGATAAATAGGCTACATTTTTACCTTTGGGGACAATAAAACAAAAACCTATGACTCAATTGGGATAGATGAAGACGTCAAACAGGACATGAATTATACCATGTTTTACCTGTATGCTTTTACTTTTCTTTATGTCAGTACTCAAGGGTAAACGAATGGTGTATCCCGAGAAAAAAGCTTTTTATACAAACCTGCCTCAAGTTCATTTTCTTCCAGTTGTCATTATGAAATACAACAACATTAAAATGGATGACCCCTTGGTAACATCCCATTACTGAGATGAATGTGTAGCTACATCTGTGACCTATTTGAAATATAATGAACTGTACAGGATATATGGGCCGACATAGGAAAGAGACTTTATAGGAACAATAGCAGCTATTGCACAATAAAAATCCACCTGCCTATTACAGCAATTTTATATAGTTTGTCTCCTTCTCACTGTTTCTGTTTTCCTCAGTTACGTCCTTCTCTGTATTAGCATCAGTTTTCAAGATACATTCCTTGCTCTTTATTTTCCTCATGTTTCTATCTCCCTTTTTTATCTTTGTCAAACTATCTCCTGTTTTCTTTTTCTTCTCTCTCTCTCTCTCTCTCTCTATCATTTGTGGGTCAGGCTACTGACAAGCACTATGTATCCATTAAGGGGAAGTGCTGGAGCTATGCCAAACATGGGTTGAGACAAGGACTTCAACCCAGACCAAGGAAAACACACAAACAAACACACATGCAAAGAAACACACAGGGACACACAGGGACACACACAGCTAAGAGAAGTAAAGAGGAAAGGAAGAAGGGGCACGTACAGAAACAAGTTGAGGAAGGGACAGGGAGACAAAGCGAATTATTTCACAGCTCATTGGCTTTGCGCTGCCTCTGGACAGAAATAAAACTGCTATTTTCACTATGAACTTCCTTATATATACACACACAAACGTGTGTGCTGTTTCCTCCAAGTATAGCAGAGTAAACCTGCTTTCTATATAGTCAGCCTCTACATGTCTTTACTATAGGTCTTATCTTCAAGCGTCCAACAGTAAAAAGCATGGGAATGGAACCTGTAGTTCTGTTGCAACTGAAGTGACAAATGTATCTAAAATAACTCTCAGAATTTAATGACCAAATCATCCAAAGGTGACCCTCTTGTTGTTAGTAACTACATCGACATCTGCCAAAATTCATTCATATTTAATGTCCATCAGCTCCCCAGAGGATGAGCATGTTTCTTTGTGCCCTCTGAGTGGTACATGTAAAGTGTCAATGAAGGTCAAACAAGCAGAGGATATATTTGTGGTAAAATGCCTTAGAAGTAGTTTAATTAAAACTGCAGTCAATGTTAGCATAACTGCTATAATACTGGAATATCAATACTGACATTGTATTTTTTTTAAAACAAGGGAAAGGAGAGGAGCAAATTCTATAAGAATTTATAATGAATAGTTCTTTCTATTCAAAATGCTAAATTGGCCCTGATATACCCTCAGGTGTTATTGTATCTTTCTGTTTTCTGCTCCCAAGCTAAATGTCAATTATTTATTCGTAAAAAGTCAATGTTGAAGTCAACGTTTTCTGTAACTTCAATACAACACGACCATTTGGTCAATGTCAAAGATTATTTTCTGTAATATATTGTGGTGGTCAGTTGCTAGAACAAATTACACATCTGCTTTTTAACCTCCCAAAGAACATAGACAGATGTCCTTTACTTAACAGACAGTTTTAACAGTCAAAATACAATATATCTACTACATTATACATTTGTATTTATCATGTAGCTGAAATATTCGCATATACTTATGGAACAAAAAGTTTAAAAAATACAAAATTAGGCATTTGGAATAAACCTTCAAAGCACCAAGCTTGTTGTGTTTGTGAGGAGAATTTTAGAAGAATAAATAGGTTTCCCTTTAGTATTTTAATATTGCAAATATAAAAAGCAGAATAAATGAGTGAAATGTAACTTTCCAGACACTATTTAAAAAAGGGTCCACACTTTGTTCTTACAGCATGTGCCAGACTTCTCGTATCTGAGATCTGACAGCAGGAAGCTTCCTGCAGCCTGTGATGCAGCCCTCCCTAAAACTGAAGTAGCGGGAAGGGCTTGTAGCCCTCTGATGAGAAGTTGTGCTATTTGGGCTCCAGTGAGGCGCGTGAAAGACACAGAGCTTAAAAAGCTGATTTACAGGATTTGCAAAGAAAATGGTCCCAGTTAAACAGGAGAATAGACGGAAGAGGCAGGTTTCATATCAGACTGTGTAAGTGCATTTTTTCTAAATCACTTTCTGAAACTGAAAACCAAAATCACTATGCCAGCACGTACAAAGTCTTTTATGAAAACTGAATCGATTGACATACATTTACGTTTTTGCTTGACCACAAATACTGATGGAGAATGACATCATCCACTCACCCCTTTGCAGATGGAGACAGCTTCTTTGGACATGGACTTGGGGTATGACACGTTGTGCTCCATTATAGATTGGAACAACTCATCTTCATCCTCGCCATCGAATGGAGGCTAGGGGAGGGGAAATATATATAATAAGGTAATGATGACTCATGTCCACTGGCAGAACCCCATGTCATATCCACAGATAAACAAGTGGGCCTCCCAGTGGCAAGACAAAAAGGAATTGTCTGATGCAAAGACAGTTATTTGATGCAAAGTATGAATATGTTTAATCTGCTCCAACAATGCATGTAGGCAGCTCCATGATTGGTGAGTCGGCTGCCTCTGTTTAGTGGTGACACATTCAAACTTTTACAAATCCCTTCAACTGTTAATACTTACAAGTCCCACACATACACTCACACACACACACACACACACACACACACACACACAGCGGTGCTTCCTATGTAATTGCTCACCACAGATTATGCGACAGCTTTACACGAAAACATGGTTGTGCACAGATTGCTCACACCCACATTATCCCCCCGTGTACTCAGGTGGTGTTTCCTCAAGACCTTCCCACCAGCTCTATTAACAAACATTGACACATATACACACTTTCTCTCCTCCATTCACAGCACATATGTGAGTTATTTTAAACTTTGACCCTGTTTACTGTACACAGTGTGTTGCATAATCTGTGGTGGGGTGTCACCGAGACAGATATTGAAGTGGCCATGTCTTGACACTGCTGTTTGAGGGTTAAGACTTGGTTTTAGGGTTAGAGACAATTTTTGGTTTTGTTTGTGGTACATATTTAGTGACAGTTCGAGTTATAGACCATAAAGAGTTAGGACATTGGTTTTAGAGTTAGAATTAGGAAAAGGCATTAAGTTGTGATGGTTAAGGTTAGGGTAATGGGTAAGGTAATGTATTATAACAGTGAGTAATAGTATGTATGTATATAAGTGAGAGTCTGTGTGTGTGTGTGCATTTATACACCACTCACCTGTCCTGCAAGCATTTCGTAGAGCAGCACTCCGTATGCCCACCAGTCAACAGAGCGTCCATATGGTTGATATGCGATGATCTGTGTGGGGAAGTAAGAAAAAATAAGATCAGAAATTCACCTAGATTAAATATTTCTACAAATGAAAAATATCCAAAATCCAATCCTCTCCAAAAAGTACGATATGTTCATTTGTCTCTGACTCTGATTTGAGACGTACAGCAAAATATTGAAACGAAGAATTCATCTATTGATATTTCATCATTTCTGATCAAATATCTTTCCTGTATCTATGATTAAACCAGGGGAATTAGGGAATGGGCTGTCATCAATCCTTCTGTCACCTGTCAGAGTGATTGATACAGTGAATTTTCAAAATATAAATTTCTTAAATTTTCAATTTTTTTCTAGGTTGCAAATGAGTGAGCAAGCAAGAAAAACCTTTAAGCTTTAGAAGCCAACAAACACAAATATATGAGGCTTAACAGCAGCATCGATAATCCTGATTAATGCTTGAAAAGCGCACAGACTTCTCTTCATACAATGATTTGATTCAGTGTAAATCCAAGCAAAGTGTAAAGCAAAGTTGTGACCACAGCTGTGACCCCTGAATCGTCTGCATTTTGAAAACACCAGCAACAACACACTTGCTACGACTGAGCAAAGACCACGGGAAGCTCACAACTTCTGACAGGAAGAGAGCATTCGCTGTGAGTGTGCAAAAGCAGACAACAAAACACAGAGAAGAGTTTAACCATTTATGAGACACAAGCTCCTCAGAGCTAAAAACCAGCTCATAGAAAGATGAGGCTGCAGCTAAAAACTGTTACTGGCTTGCACTTTTGGAGAGACTATCTTCACATTGAGTTAAAATCCTTTTGTCCTAATGCTGTGGCGCAGTTTCTGATTCATTCTTCACGATTAAAATGGTAATGTTTCATTTTTGACTTGACAAAATTATTATTGATCTGGGTGAAATGGTTTTAGAAAAGGTCATACATCTTAATAGTGCCTTTTAATATTTAATTAGAATTAGGATGAGATAGTCAACTAAACTTCCTCAATGGTATTTTTTACACAAGAGTTCCCATTTTTAGTGATATTTGGGGCAATTTAATAGCAAGAATGCCCTCTATTATCTCCAACTACAATGACAGATAAAAAGAAAAAAGAGATACGGACAAAGAATGAGTGTATGAATCTCTACTGGGTTTCCCATGGAGCCTGTTTCAGCTATGAAGAATCAGTTTAATTTTATTTGTATTGTGCCACATCACAACATAAATCATCTCAAAGCACTTTACAAAGATTTCCTGTGGGTTCATCTGACATTGGCCAAGGTCAGGCTGAGTCATGTGCACTGCCTATACAGTCTAACATTACATAAAGCACATATGTTTAGATCTCTCTCACACACACACACACACACACACACACACACACACACACACACACATACTGCTTATGAAGAGCCAAACACTCATTCAGATACACAAACACACACCGGTGTGCTTATGTGTGTGTGAATGCAGATTTGACCTGTATCACACTATAACCTCTGCAGCCTGACGCCCAACCTCTGTGATTCCCCAATGGGAGTCCACATACGCACTGAAAACACACAACAGTCGCACAAACACACCTCCAGCTCTCCGCTACGATGTCCTGATGCCGTCCTCAGGGCTGATGGGAGCCGGCTGGTTTCGTACTACATTCACGTGTTAACCCTCATGCACAAAGGCAAGCATGTGCACAAACCTGCGTGCATGTACACTCTTAATGTCTCTGTAGCTATGAGATTCAAAGGAGCAGAAAGGATTTATTGCACACATTTAAGGTCACAGGCTGTGTAGGTACATTATTGTTTTCCTCTGGAAAAAGCTAGATAAATATAACTTGAACTGTTATATACCCACAGCATATATATATGTAACAATATTTACTGTGTCAAAATATCGACTGTGACATCAGTAAGGCCTGAACTCATCAATCAGCTGTTCGTATCTTATTGAAAAATCCTTACAATCATATTCAAAGTTAAATTGGTATTTATAATACGATGGTATATATATATAGATTTATAATGCAATTAAAGCCTGTTTATGACATGTCAAAATATGACCACAATTGCTAACAAATGAGTAGTTCTTTTTAAATAAGAAAGTTATTGCTTTTAAAAATACTTAAAATTATTAAAGGTAAAAGTACTCGCTGAAAGTAATTCCTAATGCAATGATCAACCACATCAAATGTGCCTATTGCATATTCTGTTCAATGAAAGAAATAATACAAACACTGCCTTTATAATATTTTTTCATATTTTTTTCTGAATCCATTTATGTGTTTCTACTCCACCAGTGCTGCAGCTACTGCTGCAGGAGGCGAAGTCTAATGTTACCTGCCTGCTCTGATTGGATCACTGGACCAATTCCCCTCCCGTTAGTGATAACTTTTAAAATTATGAACAATACAACAATTTGATCATGTAAGAATATGAAATGCAGAGATGTGATGATATATTCAGAGCAAAAAGTACCTATAGATAAATCTCTTTAAGTAAAGCACAGATAGATGAAAAATGTATTAAAGAGCAGTAACGAAGTAATAGTACCCCGCTGCGATAATATTTGGGGGTGAAACGTTTAAAGCTGAATATCTAAGAAATGCAATCTGCATTATCAATAAGAAATGCTGACAGTGTGAATCTATTGGACGTTTTAGATGCTTATGAAAGATGACATTTACAAGGCAGTCATGTAATTATTTTTCTTATCTTTCTATCCACTGACCCTGACCCTGATGGACATGTTTCATGAACTTCGCACTTTAGATGGTCACCTACATGTAAACAACATGCAGACCTTGCATAACCTTTCACACAGCCTCCTGGTGCTTAAAAGTGGCTCCTGCAGACCCCGTCAGGCGTCACAGCTCCACAGACCACAAGGATGAGGGTTGTTTTTCTCGTCCTGCTCGGCTGCTACCTGTCTGAGGCTAACGTCCTGGGGCAGAGGTTCATTGCCACCAAAGGTAGTCAAGATGAGCATGCTGAGGCAGACACCTTCGCTCTGCTCAGAGAGATGAAGGTTCTTTTGGACGATCAGAGAAATGAGCTGCGACAGACCAAAGAGCAAATGGTGCAACTTCAGAAAGTGCAGGGTATGTGCAGGAGGATGTAGCATTTACCTGCTGCCTCCTATTTCTTTTTTAGCAAATGGAATGGAATTGAACATCTCACATTCTCTCATACTGCATTATTTTATTTTTGTGTAATTGACTGTACAGACAAGACAGGCGATGACAGCCAGCTTGACGAAATCTGGAGCCAGTTGGATGCACTGAAGAAAGGATTCACAGGTACATTTGGATCAAACTGAAGTGAAAACCCTCAAAAATCATGTATCATGAACATGTACAATAACTATGTAATGTTTCATCTGCTTATCAATAATACAATAATGTATAGTTATAGTCATTCATTTATAGTCTAGTCTGAATCCTGAATTTCTGGAGAGGTGTGTATTACGTGATGTGTGTATATTTGTTTGATATTACTTTATTTCCATGATGTACAAAAGACCATGAAGCCAGGCTGAGACTCAATGAGATGCAGGAGGAGGAGCAGAGGAAGCAGGTAGAGCAAGTTGTGCGACAGTACACAGGTAATGTACATTTACACACATATGTATTCTATCTATCAACCTACAGTATGTTTTACTTCTTCGTTTACATTCCTTTGTTTACTATTAACACCTTCTTCTCATTCTCCACACGCAGAGCTGGAGGCCAGACTGAACGCCTATAATTTAGATGGACAAAGAAAACGAGTGGACAATCTCCAAAAAGACAGTAGAGGTATTGCAACAAACGTTGGTTATTAGTGTCCAGTAAAGTGTGGCCTCATCTCATCTAATCTCACCTCATGATACAGTATTTATTGAACTGAGTGGTTGAGGTCATGAAGCATTTACAACCTCTTTTTTAACAAATAGAGATGAACACCAGACTGACAGAGCTGACAAATAAACTTGGAGACACAGATGCAGTAGTGAAGACTCTGCAGGCGGCTGATCAAGGTAAATTATGGATTTTTTTTCCCTTTCTGATAAAGAAAAAAATTTGTATTTGTGGAATTATCTGTGTGTGTGTGTGTCATGTTTTTTTCCATGATGAAATGTGCAGATTTGGAGACCAGACTGAACGCTGCTGATGTCGAGGCAGAGACACAAGGAGCCTTGGTGGCACAGTTACGGATTTCAATTACAGGTAGATTAACAGGGGTAGAGATATATCAGTGTGAGGGGATGCTTGAAGTAGAAGACTACAGGCTAAAGATTGATCAACTTGATTCTCTTGATTTTGAATGTTAGAGTTTGAGTCCAGACTGGAGTCCAGTGAGAGTCTTGAGGAGCAGCTGAACATTCGACTTAAAGACACTGAGACAAAGGTCGAGGTTCTGAAGACTGTGGATCAAGGTAAAGAATGGAAGAGATCGAAAATAAATGGTCTGACACTGTACAAAAATATTTGGCTGTTTGTTGATTTGAATTGTTCTATTCTTTCTACCAACCTCACTGAGAAGAACTGGAGGCCAGACTGAACGCCAGTGATTTGGAGGGACAAATTGAACGAGTGGCACAGCTCCAGAATGAAAGTAAAGGTAATCAACAAGTCAGTTATTAATGGCCAGTAAAGAATCTTATCCTAATCTCATCTAATCTCACCTCAAGATATATATTTAACTGAATGGTTGAATTTGAGCAGTATTTAGGACCTTGTTTTTAACAAGCAGAGCTGGACAGCAGACTGACGGAGCTGACAACTAAACTTGGAGATGCAGATGCAGTGGTGAACGCTCTGCAGACAGCTGATCAAGGTAAATGGTACAACATGTAAATGTGCATCATTAAAATGAAAAGTATTTTCCTTTGGATTATTTGTGTGATAAAATGTTTTATGTTTTGTTCACGCTGAGCAGAATTGGAGGCCAGACTGAACACTGCTGATGTCGAGGCAGAGACACAAGGAGCCCTGGTGGCACAGTTACAGACTGAAATCTCAGGTAGATTAACTGGGGTTCA